TAAAAATGTTCATTCCCATCCTTTTCCCTGCACTAAACCCTAAAACTGATAAAAGTTAATATGAGATTATTGGACCAATCACCAAACAGCTTTTAAGAGGAAGAGAAACAAAACAGAAATGAATGAAAAATTCAAAATCTGCACTCCAGGGCTTCCCTGGTGGCGCAGTGGTAGAGAGTCCACCTGCCGATGCAGGGGACACGGGTTCGTGCCCCGGTCCGGGAAGATCCCACATGCCGCGGAGCGGCTAGGCCCGTGAGCCATGGCCGCTGAGCCTGCGTGTCCGGAGCCTGTGCTCCGCAACGGGAGAGGCCACACAACAGTGACACGCCCGTGTACCGCAAAAAAAAAAAAACAAAAAACAAAATCTGCACTCCACTCTCTCATTCCCTCCACGGTGCTTATATTCCACAAACAGCCCATGCTATCTTAGAATTCTCTTTCTAACCTGCTCATTCCCCTATATGCTGACATCTCAAAGGCCTAATAAGCCTCTGAAATGGATTCCTTCTCCATCTAGTTTTTCCCCACCCAGACACCACCACCTCTCACCATACCATTCTCCACTCAAAGCTCCACAAAAGCAAAACTGACCATGTAAATTATCCTACTTAAAAACCTCCATTATTTACCCAATAACTTATAGGATGAAGTATAAAATGGTTGATTTGCTCCTAAGTGCCAATCACATTAAATCTTTACCACTTACTGAACATCTCCACGCTTTTGCATATGCTTTCCCCTACAACTGGAATGCACTTCTCCCATTTACCTTTTAAGACCTATCTCAAATCAACTCCTCTACGTTAAACACCCAAATCCCCAAACAGAATTATTCTCTCCTTCCTCTGTGCTCCCACAGCACTTTCCACTTATCATTTTAATACTTATTATAATGTGTTATAGTAATTACAGGAGAGAGTATAAGGTAGTGGCTAACAAGAGAAGCTTTGGCATAAGATGGATTTGGGTCCAACACTCCATCTTCCACCTAGTAGCAATATTGCTTTAGACAAGTTGGTTACCTCCTCTAGGGCTCAATTTTCTCATTAATAAAATTGGGGTAACACTTGAGTCTAGTTTAAAGTGCTACAGTGAGTGCATTCAGCACTACCCATCCTTGAGGCTAGTCAACATTCAATGAACAGCAGCAAAGCTGCTGCCCCCAACAAGAAAAGGGACTATGTCTAAAGTCTTCCCAAGGGGATGCACACACCAAAATGTTTAATCACTTCTGGGTGATTTGGGTGATGGAATTACAAGCAATTTTTGTTCTGTTCCTTTGATCTTTTCTGCACTGAGTATATGCAACTTACTAAGAAAAAAGCTATAAGCCCTTAAATACCTGATCCATCGGCCTTCCCTCGTGGCGCAGTGGTTGAGAATCCGTCTGCCAATGCAGGGGACACAGGTTCAATCCCTGGTCCGGGAAGATCCCACGTACCACGGAGCAACTAAGCCCTGTGTGCCACAGCTACCGAGCCTATGCTCTAGAGCCCGCGAGCCACAACTACTGAGCCTGCGTGCTGCAACTACTGAAGCCCATGTGCCTAGAGCCTGTGCTCCATAACAACAGAGGCCACCACAGTGAGAAGCCCACGCACCGCAACTTAGAGTAGCCCCGGCACGCCACAACTAGAGAAAGCCCACGTGCAGCAACGAAGACCCAATGCTGCCCCCAAATAAAAAAATAAATATAAAAAAAAGCTTTAAAAAAAAAATCTGATCCATCACCTAGAGGCAGCATCTAGCACAAAGTATTATGCTCTATAAATACTTGAAAAATGAAGAAAATTCTACAGTATATTTAGTTTTACAAGCAAGCATGTTTATATGCATTTATTTCTTTGCTTCTCATAATCACTTCTTGGGTAGGTAGGGCAGGTTATTATCATCACCCCTAGAAAATGAGGATGAGAGCTCAGAACAACTAAACAGGGACTAGACTGGAACTTAAAACCAAAACTTCTAACTTCAAATACAGCGTTTTTTACTTTACTACTAAACACTAAAAGTGAACTCCTACTCACATTCCCAAGTCAGAGAGCTAAATCACTTGTACACTATTTGAGAGGGAGCAAGCAAAGAAGAATAAAGGAATGTAACTTTTTTTTTAAAAGTTTCATTAATCCTTTCAAACAATGGGGGAAAAAATCTGAGTACATAAGTGTACCAAATCAAACTGTTCCACAAAGTCTAAGTAACCAGCAAAAACAGCGGAAGCTAAGTGCCCCAATATGTGCCAGACACTGTTCTAAACATTTTACATATATCTATTTTATTAATTTAATTCTATAAAACAGATAACTACTGTCTCTAGTTCACAAATGAGTAAACTAAAACACAGAAATTAAATCGCTTGCCTAAGATAACACAGTAATTGGCAGATCCAGGTTTCAAAACTAGGCAGTCTTGAAAAAGTAAGATCAAGGAGTCAAAAAAAAAACCTCCAAAATCTGGGGAAAGCAGTGATATATTTTATCTCAATTCAAAGGATCTATAATCCTTAACTTATGGAAACAATAAAAGCCCTCTCTGGATTATTTGAATTTCTAATAATTAGAAACAGTTATTTTCTCTTGTCAAATATCATTATAAACCTATTAAAGTTGCTTTAACAAAAATATTCTACTTTCAACTACAAGAATTTTACAGCCCTATTCTACAGTAAGTACTTCTTAGCTTTGTAAAATAAAAAAGCTAAGACATTAGAGGTTTTTTTGTTTTCAGGAAAGTGCACATATCAAAAGAAATACACCACCTCCCAAAATGACAACTCCAACAAAAGACCACTACCTACCTTAGCAACACTACTCAAACCTAGTTACAATTTACAATTACATAGGGACTTTTAAAAAAACCAATACACAGCACCCACTCCAGACCAACTAAATCACAATATCTGGTGATGGGTCTAAGTGTTTTTAAAAGGTCCCCCAAGTGATTCTAATGAGGTTTAAGAACCACTATTCTAAGGAAATCCAAACCCTCCATATTATTACTTCACACAGAGCTTTTGCCCATAAAGGTCTGAAAAAGTATTCAGTCATCTTATTCAGCCAATTTGCAAACAACCAAGAGAGTAAGATAAATAGGACCCTTCAACTACTAAAAGGGGTATTAATTATAAGCACACTTAGCCCAACAGATTAGACAAAAATCAAGGCAAAAGGATTCCAATGATAATGTTTTGGATAACAGAGTAACTTCAATTAACGCGTCAAATATGCCAATGACCAAGCTATTTCTATTTGTCAAACCCTACATTTTCCAATCTGAAATGACGCCATGCTTTCTGATGGACTCAAGAGCCCAGCAATTCCAACAGAGCAACACTGAAACAACTGTCACCTTGAAACTGAAAGCCCCCAAATGTGTCATCTTTTTAAAAAGCTAAACAAAGATTAAACTCAACTTTAATGTACAATTGCTGGGTAAATCTTTTTATGCTTTCATATAGAAGATACCCCTGAAAAGTCAATATTGCCATAAGAACTCTGAAATTCAAAATTACATGCCTAGATGTTTGCAGGAACATAATTTGGTGACTTGGACTGATAGAAGGCTACTTATAACCTTTATTCATAGTCATATTTTGCAGTTGGGATACTAATTTGATTATCGGTGCTGTTTTAGACCCTTAAAGGCTTGTTAGGGTAGGTACTATCTTTCTAAAATTTGAGAAACTCTGTAGCATACCTGTCCTCAAGCGTTTTGAATAAAGCATGTGGATCTGTAGTAGTAATTTTGAATAACACAACAGGATATTTTAATATTTGATTTTTGAAGCTTACTTAGTTTTCCTGTGAAACTGTAAGTAGCTAAAAGCACTGAATCAGTCTTAAAGCATAACAAGTTCCGATTTGATTCCATGCTTCACTGGTAACAGTGTCCCCCAAAGTACAGTATACCACCTGGACAACCCAAACTCCCACCACACCCAACTTGAGAGAATCCGTTTACTCAAGTTAGCATAGCTCTTGTGAAACAGAAAGCCTTCCCTAAATGTTCTTACTCAAAAGCTACTTGTTACTGTTAACGCTACCACAAACGACCTACTAAGGCCTTGCAGTTCTATCGGTTTTAATATCACCGGCCATATATCCTAGTAGAGTGAAACAAACGGAATCCAAAACCCAAACATAAAATGCCTTGCAAAGAATCTAAATAATTCTGTGTTCTAATCCGACGTTGTTTAATGTGCAAAGATTCAGAACTAAAAGCAAACGTACCAGCTACCTCACAACTGGACTACCTAGAAGACTTAATCCTTCCTTCATACTTGCACTTTTTCCGCCATAAACAACAGGATACTCCAAAGAAACGGAAATAGAGAGAAAAGCCTAATTTTTCCTAAGGGGAATAACGGCATTGCTTCCAACTCCCCCCCCCCCCACCACAGTGTGAGTGAACAAATGAAAAAGCAACGGGGGAAAGGCACGGGGGGAGGGGCGGTTGGCGAGCTCAGATGGAGTCCTATACCTGCCACCCAGCTCACACGGTGCCCGAAACATCTGTAACGACCGCTGCAACAGGGAAACTGGGCTGTGGGGGTAAGAAGACCGTGGCCTGGGGGCTCAGAGTGCAGCCTGCACGCTCGGCTTCCTCCTTGGCCAACTCTTCTCTCACCTCCCAATTCCCATCCTCCCTATCCCACCCTGCTCCCTCCGTAAAGAAAAATACCCAATAAAACTGGAGGCAGAGAAGACAAAGAGGCAAAACGAGGCTGCAAGGAGCGTCCAGAACAATGGGGGACAGGGTGCAAAGCGAAACTCCCGAGGGGGACAATGAAGGGGGTGGAGAGGAACCCGGGGAGGCACAGAGGGAAACACCGCCGAGCCCGGGCCCGGCCAGCGGCGGACGCCTGGACTCGAGGCCCGGCCGCGCGGGCGGTATCACCCCGGGCGCGGCGGGCTGGGCCGGAGCGGGTGGGAGCGGCGCGGCCCGGTGGGGCCGGCGGAGCCTGCGCGTGTCCACTGGCTGCTGCCGGCAGGACTCACCGGCATTCTGATCTCGGGGCCAGAGGTAGTATGTGGCCGGGATCACGATGAGCCCCACGAAGGAGGTGAGGAAGTAGAAGAAGGTGTTCCCGCTGTCATCGTACTGGAACTGCTGCCCCGCCATGGCACCCCCTCCGCCGCCTTCCTCTTCTCACCACCGCCGCCACGACCCCGCTCTGCTTTCGAGCTCCCAGCGCCCCGGCCGCGTGTGGCGTAGCTCCTACGCCGCCGCCGCCTCTCCTCCCCGCCCCCACGCTACTCTCACGGACCCGCCGCCGCCACCGCCGCTGAGGTCCCAGCTCTCGCGAGAAGAGATAGCTCCCTCCCCGCGCGGTTTTTCCCTCCTCTGCCCCCCGCCTCTCCCCAACCAGCTCGCAGAGAGAGACGTGGCGCGCGCAGCCGAAGAACTCTGCGAGCTCCCGCCCTTAGCCCTGCCCGCTTAGCCTCAGCTCCGCCCCTCAAGCTCTGGTAGACCCTCCCTGAAGGCCCCGCCCCTACCCCTAAAGTCCCTCCCCCTCCCTCCTCAGTTTCCTTTCCCAGGGTCCAGCTCCGGGTCCTGAGGGTCGGTTTACAGGGTCCCAGCCGAGGCTTCCCGGCCGAGCAGTGGGCGCGGGCGGTTCACCTGACTGCGACCGGGTTCGCACCCATTCGAAGCAGAGGTGAGGCTTCCTTGCCTCCCCTGTCTCCCATCCCTACCCATCCTGTCCTGCACTCTCACTTTTCAATTTCCCTGGTTGATAAGAATGTTTCCTTAAATTCCGGATCCGCTCCTCCAGTTTGGAAACACTGGTCGGTCAGAATAGGGCGCGGGAGCAGGGCGGTGGGGAGGGATGGTGAGGGGTTTGGCTGTAGGGGTTTTCTGGCAAAGCAACGTTTGCTATTAAGAGACTGCAATCTACATTGCGCCCACTTTGCAGATGGAGATTCCCCAAGCCGGTAGAGATGGTGACCTACCTATCCCAGAGCTAATAATATTTATAGCATTTTCTTCGACACAGGCAGTAGGCAAAGACCTTTATTGCTTTAAATCATTCAATGGTCGGCGAACCCCTTGGAATGAATCAAAGCATGCCCGCTCTCCAGATGGGAAAATGGAGGCTGAGAGAGATTGCCTAAAGTGAAGCACAATAAAGAAACGTCTGGGGATTTAAACCCAGATCACGCTGACGCCACAAAGCCAGTGCCCTGACCACCGCCTCGTCGCCGACCTTCGCATATCCCTGAGAGCGGCCGGCCCTCGCGTGCGGAGTGTGGGCAGGAATCCGCACTGCGAGGAGAGACGGCTGGGGGAGCAGTCGCTCTCCGCGGCCTCTGCCCTTGCCAGCTGTGAGATCCCAGAGGCTGGAGTCAGCTAAGCTGGGAGCTGAGAGGGCTGGTGCCCTGATCCGTGAATGACCCCCACGGTCCCGCGGCAGCCCTGGCTGGAGCCTATCCCAGCATCTCCACCTCCCCTCAGGGGACCAAAAGGAAAGGCCCACCCGAGTCACCTCACAGAGTCGTTGTGAAGATTAAAGGGAGTTATAGTGAAAACTGGAAAACCAATGCAATAAACAAATATTACACTGTATTTTTAAAAACTCATTTTAAGGCTATATAGTCTATTTACTAGGTTCCTTTCAATATGCCTTCCAGTGTTGGAAGAGAAATCTGGTCACATGTCATCTTTTACTTCATGTCCTCAAAAATATTATTTATCATAATCAGTGACGACTTCCTTCATAATAGATTATATTCACATGTATTCTGTCTTCCCTCTCAAATGTCCTAACTACCCATTTTGAAAGGAAATTTTAGAAAATCATTTGCTCTGCATTCCCCTCCTCACTTTTTTCTGTGTGAAGTTTTCAAAGACTGTATTAGAGGGGAAGAAATAAAACAGACAGGTGAGGGGGAGAGGATTGGACAATGAAGTCAGCACAGCACTGTGATCACCCAAGGCTGATATGCCCAAAACAATCTGCCTTGCTTCAGAAACAAGTCTGTCATAAAATTGGCTCAGCTGCAGTGCGTAGGATCCTGAAGTTCCTTTTGTTTATGTTGAATTTGTCATTAAGTCTTGTTTTAATAATGCTGAACTGGTTGTTTTTTATTACCCTGATTATACATTTTACTCTGCATTTGGATAAAGATAATACATCAGTTTTATAACCTTGTGTCAATATAAATTATTCATGATAAATATTCCCCTTCTGACTTTTTTTCTGCAGGAGTAATCCTTTCCCTGCAGTTTGGGGTCATGCATATGAGTGGTTTGTACAGAACTTAACCATGAAACCAAATTTTGAACAAATCACATTTATTTGCTAAACTCCATACCTATCTAAAATATGAATTTTTAACCAAATTAAACGATTAAAGATTTGAAAATGTATAAACAGTCTGTCTTAGAACTTAATGCTATTCATCATAGATAAACTCAGATCACCCAAATATTCCCCAAAGCAAATCTGAATCATACCTTTAATTAATCACAATTTTTTCTGACTGATTTTTTAATTGCTTTTTAAACAGTTGTTTCTTTTAAGATATCATTTCAGTGAAATATTTAATAGTACTGAGTGAATATGGTAGAACCAGAGCTACAAACACATTTTGTTTAGTCTAATAGGACATGTTAAAAGACATTTTTGTATTTTCTCTATATGTGTCTGTAAAGGATTATTTTAATCAATTTCATTTTAATTTCTAGGTAGAGATTTCCTCTCAAGTGTAGAAAACCTGACTATTTTTTGGTTCCTCCTAATAATTTGCTTTTTCCTTAAAGTGAATCTTTCCTTCCTTGCAAGTCATGCTTGTAACTACTGGTGTTGACTTAACATTTATACATACCAAAATACATTTGTGTAGCTATAGTCAACATGATTTAATTTTCTGCTTATTGTAGTTAGCCTCAAAGAGACTGGAAAGAACCAAATAAATAAGTAGGTACATGCAATTATTTCCAGTCTTTTCCCCCTCTCTCTACCCTACAATAACCTTCACTGTCAAAGCCTAGCAAATCATCTTTAATGTTATGCCTCTTATTACTTTGTTTCAGTGCCAGGATTTTCTCCATTAAGAGCTAAATCTCTTCTGATACAAAATGAACAATTCTTTTTATTTGATCTTACAGAAATGAAAAGTTATGCCCATCATAATGACAACAGTAACATCAACAAAGTAACCTTTGTACAACATTTATTATTTACAAAAAACTTCCTCAGCATTATTCCAGTTGAAATTTCAAAGCATGACCCACATGTTGGAACTTTGACTAGGTAAAAGGTAGTAACCCATTGCAATCCTTTCATTCCCTAGCTTCCTAAGACCCTTATGACCCAATGAAGCCCCAGTCTTACACTTGGAGAGAATGTGAAGGGAGGTATGGGCTAGAAAGACATTGGAACTGGATTATGCTCCACTCTGAAAGCATGAAAACAATGTTAAAAGAGGAACTGAGGGCTGTGGTTTTCTTTAGTGTTGGGATCAGGTTTGCATTTGGGCTCCTCTCTTTTCATGAGTATGTTGGACTTGTCAATATTGTTCTTGTTCTATACCTACTTTTGTGATTACAAAGCTGAGAATTATTGTACTAAAACCAGTTGTCAACGATGTATCAACAAACTTAGGTTATTCCTTTATGAATTAATTTTATGCATTACCAACATATCTAAACTGCTTAAAGAAAAAATGATTGACATTTCACAGTGAGCCATAAAATAGCACTTAATGAAATTTCCCGCCCAGATTGAAATATAATTTGGAAGAGTGGCCATGAATAAACAGGAGAGATCACTATGGGCAATTTCAAGTTTGTATATTTGCGTAAGGAGAAAAAAAATATTTCAGTAGAGATTAGAACTTAAGGGAAAACATAAATCATCTTGTTGAAAAACAAATATTTGTGGATCCTGAAGTTTATAAAATTGGGGAGCCTTAATTAATAAAAAATATAAAATTATGATTATAAAATTAGGTACAAAAGTTCATATTCACTATGAACTCTGGTGATAATGTTGTGTCAAGGTAGGTTCATCATTTGTAACAAATGTACAACTCTAGTGGGGGATGTTGAAAATGGAGGAGGCTCTGGGGGCCAGGAGAGGGAGAGAGTGGGAAATATATGAGAAATCTCTGTACCTTCCACTCTGTTTTGCTGTGAACCTAAATCTGCTCTAAAGAAAGTCTACTAAAAAATAGCTAATATTGGGCTTCCCTGGTGGCGCAATGGTTGAGAGTCCACCTGCCGATGCAGGGGACACAGGTTCGTGCCCCGGTCCGGGAAGATCCCACATGCCACGGAGCAGCTGGGCCCGTGAGCCATGGCCGATGAGCCTGCACCTCCGGAGCCTGTGCTCTGCAATAGGAGAGGCCACAACAGTGAGAGGCCCGCGTACCACAAAAAAAAAAGCTAATATTTATAATAATTATAATTGCTATAGGTTTGTGTTCTACAAACAAAAGAATTCTGATAAATTCTATTTTTGCATGATTTCCATCAGGATTCTTTTTAATATGGTAACATTTACAATTGTATAAACTGCATATTGAATATATTTCTACTGAGAGAGATTTTTCCTTTTTGACAAGGCTCAGTGACAACCGAATTCTCTGCTTACAATTTTAACATCTCATGAGTGGAAGAATTTTCCACAGAGTAGTTTCTGACTCTGTACGTTTCAAACAATATTTCTCCTCTATTACCTACATGCTTCAGGTACCAGGCCTAGTGGAATATATTCATATCATGAATCAAGATGTATCACTCTTTCATGTTGCAATGCTCAGTAAGTTTGCCCCAGGGGTAGAGGTGGAAGAAGTATTCCTGGAAGTGCTAACAACTATACACAGAAGTAACTGTAAACTACATAAAAATATCACCCTAGCTCCAAAATGAATGTATCCCCTTACTTTCAAATATACAGATTATTATAAGGAAGAAAATCAGTCATTCAACATTTAACATTCATTGAAATCACATATACTATTAGCGAGGGTGGGGAGCACAGGAATGTTTAAGTCAGGGTCTCTGACCTCTGGAAACTTGCCTACAGTCTAATGAGAAGGGCATACTTTTTTCAATAAGTAACAAAAACCAGAGGAAGGAATTGATAAATGCTGTAAGGAATATACAAATAAAATTATTTCCAGGTTCATAGGAAAGAGTCCTTTCTTTTGGCAGAGAAAATCAGAAGGCTTCAAGGATGAGGTGGCAATTGAGCTAGGCCTCGAAACTTAAATAGAAATTGAAGGAAAAAATCCAGGTGGAATCAGCTCACAGAACATTTGAAGAATAGCATGAAGTCCAGTC